CCAAAATGTCATGAAGTACTCAAGTACAATAAGCATGTAGATGCTTTGTCCTTGGAATACTTTTAATTTGAAAAGTGACTCTGTCTTCTGCATCATATATTTTTTTGGAAGTGCTAGTGTCTAAAGCCTTTAAAAAAGTACTGAAATCTCTTCCAAATATCTCTGTGCATAAAAGCAGGAAGGATCAGGAGGAATTTCTGCTTTTCTGGTTGTAGTTTAAGAGGACAGCCCCATTTTCTTTATGAAAGACAAGCCTGGAACTTTTTTTCCTTTGGCAAACCCATGTGATGTAGTCCTGCAGAAACAGAGTACTGTGTGATTGCACGGAGCCAAGGAAAGGGGCAAAAATTAAGAAAAGGATATGACTCAGTGCCTGATGTTTTAGGCCCACATCTCCTTCATCCTCTTCTTACTAGTAGTCCCTAGATACTGCTTATTCTGTCCTCTTGGTTTGGTGTGATTTGCTGGGCTCTTTCAGCAGTGAGTTTGAGTTTTGCTTTACCACGTCCAGCATCCACAGCAGATGCTGCTGTTGTAGCTGTGCTCGAGCAGCTCCACTGGAAGTTCATTCACAGAATGGCTCAGAGTTAAAACATCCTTTTGTTGCTGCCACTGATAATCATTTGTTCTATCAGCAAATGTTGCCACTCCTACATCAGATCCATGAGAGCATGGACGGCTTCCAAATGTGCTAATTCAGCACCAGAGCTGTGATTTTAGCAGCAATTGCTCCTTAGTATTTTTCACCTGTAATTGTTATTATTTTTCATATTTATCAAACAGCTGTAAATTGACACCTCTATCCTGCAGATACTTGTGTGTTCTAAAGAAGTCTGTGAAGGATGATTACACTCCAATTTCAGTGGAGGCTTACACTGATTCAGTTAAAGTTCAGTTAGGGCCTGGTTCTCAGAGGATTTTAGTGCTTTGGCAATCACGTTTTATCAGGCAATTATGAATTTTGGATTTCAATGCTTATTTTTTTTCCATTGTCCTTGCTACTCATTGGTAATATTCAGACTGGACACAAGTAACCTGAGAGAAATCAAGCTGTGACTGCTTACATGGTGGGTTTAAAGTGAGCTCAGGCCATATCACTCATGTTTGGAATGTGCAATCGAAAAGACAAACACAATTCCTAACTTCCAGAAAAGACTTTTTTTTTCTTGTTCTGACCTTTAACAATCTGCACCAGTGAACAGAGCCCTGTCGCAGGCAGCTGGTAGGAAGCTGCTCAGCTCTTTCACAGCCTGGATCTGATGTGCCTCCTGCATGGGAAGGGGGGTCCCACCAGACCTCATCTGCCAGCTCCCAAAACGCAAGGTTTTTCCAGTACAGTGAAACCAGATCTTCTCTATGCTGAGAAGTTTTGAGATTTCTTGTGGCTGGAAATAAAGGATTTAGCCTTAATTCCAGTCTGGTTTGGCTATCCATTTCCTTCAGGAGCGCTCGTAAACTCTCATGGTGGCAGGAGGTGATGAAAAAGAGTGTTTGTCAGGTTTTTGATGACATGGGGTCTCATTATTCATAAAGTCCACAAGCCACAGTGAATTTACTAAGGATTTAAACCTGGCAGGCTGAGTTGACTACAAGTGTTTCTTTCATACTCACTTTAAAGGAGGTGAGGAGGAAGAGGAAAAAGACATAAGGGAAGAAATGTTGCAAACAAGAATCCATCCAAGAGCAGAAGCAGAAGTTGGTGGAAGAAGAGATGAGGTTCTGTTGAGCAGAAGAACTAGAAGGAAAACAGTCAAGTGTGTGTCAGGCAGGACAAAGATTTGAACTTGAGTCCCTGTTTCTCAATTCTTATGATTATGTTTTATAAATCTGTATATATTCTTAATTCTTTAGCACATATTTAATTCTCTAGTAAAGCATAGGTAAAGCCAGAAACATTATGATTTGTGGGGAGGATACAAACAGCTTCCTCAAGTGATGGGAGGATTTTTATGCTGCTAAATTACTGTTATCATAAACAAATAATGTAAGTACTGTAATTTCTTGTCTTTATTTTTTATTTTATTTTTATTTTAATTAATGTTTCCATGGAGAATTTTCAGTTTGTTGAAGGAGGAAAGCACCAGAAATATTCTGGATTGCCTTATGTGTATGTTGCTCATAAAGGGAGAAAAAATATTTTTTATTAGATTTCTTATGAGTGCATTTTAAGAAGCAAGTGTCATATGATGCATTAGGCTATTCTTTAAAATAGGAAAAAAAGGAAGATGTGTGAGTCTCCTTCTGTTCCCCAGAGTTTCAAGAACTCCTGGCTAAGCCAGTTAATGCACACCTTTTTCATGTGAAATTGTCTCACCGTGCTGGAGGCCCTTGTCCCTCCACAACACAGAGCCAGGATTAGAAATCTTCAGGTAGGTTGATTTAGATGGGGAAGCACAAGTGCCCAGCTGCATGCAGCCCAGGTGCTGAGTGACTTCTTGAGAAGGGGAGAGGGAACAGGTCAAAATGAAGAAACAGATGTTGTCTAGGCAGGAATTCCCATTCATATTGTTTACTCACCTGGCTGTTGATGAAACCCCGTGACAACATATGTTTTCAGCTGACAGCATTTTTGTAAGATTAGCTGTGACAAATACAGCACCTTGTTTCCCATGGAGAGAGATGATGTTTGTTACTGCTGTGTCACTTCAGTTGCAGTTGTGGATTTTCTCTTTATCTTCATCTGAAAGTAGCTTTACATTAGACAGAAGTAATATCTGGTTATCTAACACAACTTAAACAGCCAGCTGAGATTTCCTTCATTTGCCAGAGTCCTTAGAACAATCTTTGTTCTCTTTGAGATTTTATCCAGACAGACCATGGCTTTTTCAATCCTGGTAGTGTGTGACAGTTGGATCTGGCTAATATCTATGCCCCTAATGAGTTATTAAAGTGGGCGGCATCATTAAGATTTGATTTTATGCCTTGAAGCCTTTTTTTCAGGCCTTTTTGGTATGAGACAACAGCGGCTACTGCTTGCAAAAGGGCTTTGCTGCTGCAGAGTCATCGTGTCAGCAGTGGGATTGTGCAAGATGTGCCAGTGTGGTACCCCCCACACGTGCTGACAGTGTGGTGTGGACATCCTTTGAACAATTAAGTTACAGCATTCAAGTTATTGATGCAAATATGTTAGGCATAATTTCTTAAATATTGTCTTTATTCTTACTTACAAGGTTAAATCCTCATGTGTTCTGCAGGCATATACTAGAACACAACTAGTCAAGGCAAATAGCTAAATTGTTATGTTGTTTCTCGTGCTTAGAGAATGGAAACTTGCTTGTGGGTAGAAGGATAGAAATCTGCCTGTGGACAGAAAAATCCATAAAACAGTGAGTCAGCAACTGAAAGCAGATACCTTGGGGAAGAGGGCAGACTGATACTCTCCAGGGCTTTTACAATTTTATGATCAAGGACTTCCAGAAGCAAAGCTGGTTCCTATTCATTCGGTAAACCTTGGTGGATTTTTCTTCTATTAGGTTGTCAAGTCTCCCTCAAAAGCACATGAACTTTTTGTATTTGAAGTATACGATGGAAAGGAGGTCCACCACTTAATTACTTAATTACATGTTAAGAACCATTTTGTTATGAACCTGTTACTAATGCACCCTGGCTCTTGTCATTCCTGGTTTCCCTCTGCACTTAGATGTACTTTTACCCAAGAATCAGTCTTCACTGTAGAATGTAAGGTTTGCACAAGAATCTATCTAGCAAACAGCAGTTTTATTTACTGTTAGATTTTGGACTCAAATTTCCAAAGTCATTTCAGGCCATATGTAGAATAAACATTTTTGAAAAGTCCTAAAACCTTTCTTCTCCAAAATTACTGGCTTTAGTGTAAATGGCCACTTGCTATTTTTCAGGTTTTTTTTCTTTCTAAGTAAGAGGAAGTACTCACTGGGCCAATTCCAGAGCACAGCCAAAACTTTCGGAAGTATGACTAATATTGCAAGCTGTGTTGCTTATCAGAGCTTATAAGATAAATCAGGCAATTGTAGGTAGTGAGAAGGTAGAGTAAGTTAAGAAATAAATACCATTTCTTTTCTATTCCAGATAAGTGCTTCCATTTGACATATTTTACATTTATCATGTTCTGTCCCCTCTGTACAACTCCGAAGTATTTTGCACTCTGGAAATCCTCAGCTTCACAAATTATTGTCTCAGGTTATTACAGAATGGGTCAAAGTGAATAGGAGAAACAGAGAGTCTCTTCTTCTCAGGTCTTTAAAGCTGTGTATGCACAATTAAGATCTTCATGCTTCCTCTTCCTATTTCAGTTGCTACCCATTCTGAAAGAACTTTTAAAGCCAAAGTCTTGATGTCTTTAAGACACATTTCTACCCCAAAATGCCCAAATACTCATTCTGTTGTTGAATATTAAGAAAGACAGCATTTTTTGGTTGAAGTGTTGTTTTTCTCAGATTCCTGCCTTGAGAATTTAGCAGCTATTTTTTCATACATTCTTTTTTTTCCCCATCCTATACTATTACACCTGCTTCTTTTCATTCACTATTTTGTTTGTTAAATAAAAGTTCCCATTTTTTAAAGTAATTTTACTACCACATGTGATCCAATATTTTAATGAAAATTTCATTAGACTGCTTAGCTAATGCAGAAGATAGTGACTGACATGAGTAGCTGTCAGATTTTGCTAATCTCTAATACTGGAGATTTTGATAATCTCCAAAATATAGAATTAATAGGGAAATTCACAGTATTGATAAGGAAGAGTTGATACTAGAAAGCCCTGTCCCTGTTGAACAAAATCATTTAAAGCATGTGCTGAAATTGCATTGCAAACTGAATGCTATATTGGCCAGGGTTTAACAATCGATTTAATGGTAAGAATTCAGATGAAATGTTATGTTGAACTGGCGACACTGTTAAATTGACATTCCTCACAAAAAAAGATTAAAGCTCCAGTGCCTGCATTTATGATATGACAGTGATTTTGAAAGCTAATAGAAATAGTATTCTTGCTGTATGTTTTTTTGTTTTCTCTCCAGGGATGAGTTTGCCAGTTGGTTTGGTCTACATTATTAAACAGTGGGGAGAGTCAGCCTGATGATTAGTTCAGAGAGATGATGATGAACTAGGATGTTGCAGTATGACTTTCATTGCAGAAAACAAGGTAGGTTCAATACAAATGACATTAAATAAGTTTTATTTAGTTTTTATGCTTTTTTTTTTTTATTGTTTCATTTAGATAGAAAAAACCCTGTATGCTAAATTTTAGGAGCGTTAATTTTCAGATACAGCACATTGATCTTGAAACACTCAATAAAATCAGTATAACCATTTCTGATGACAAATGCAGAGCTGACATTTTTTGCACAATGGTCGCTGACATATAATCTATTCTGTTGCCTTACAAAAAAAAACCCTAAAAACTAAGCCACCAAACTAAGTAGAAATATATGTCATCAAGATAGTTTTAGCATCAACTATATAAAATTGGTCTTAAGATAGTTACTATATTTTCAGCTGAAACGTCAAGTTTAATTATATTTTTTATTCAGTCTAGAAGGCTAGATTTCTCTCTCTTCATTGGTTCTGGTCCATCACTTGGATTTAGACAGGACTTGGGTTGTACACTGTTGCTGAGTCATCCAATTTGTAACAACTGTTTGTTGATGAACTACGTAATTCTTGCTTTGATCACATTCAAGATTCCCCACACTCTTAAACCTAGTTGCCCTTTCACCATGCTTTTAAAATACAGCAGCTTTATCTTTTACTGAGGAAGAGAGAGATTAAATCCAAAATCATGCACAGTCTACAGCAAACCAGGATATCGAAGTCTGGTCTAAACCCAAGGGCAGTAAACTGGGCACTGGATCTTCTTATGTCAGGAAGGAGGAGTTGACAAATTAACTTTTGCCCAATACAAATAAATGTATTAAAAGCTAACATGTGATTTTAATATGAAATCTATTTGTAATCTATTTGTAGTAAACAGCCTGGGAAAAGGAGGCTCTCTACAACTACCTGAAAGGAGGTTGTAATGAGGTCTCTTCTACCAAATAATAAGTGATAGGGCAAGAGGAAATGGCCTCAACTTGTGCCAGGGGAGGTTTAGATTGGGTATTAGGAAAAATTTATTCACTGAAAAGGTTGCCAAGCACTGGAACAGGCTGCCCAGGGAAGTGGTTGAGTCACCATCCCTGGAGGAATTTAAAAGATGTGTAGATGTGGTCCTTAGGGACATAGTTTACTGGTGGATTTGGCAGTGCTAGGTTGATGGTTGGACTTGATGATCTAAAAGGTCTTTTCCAACCTAAATGATTCTGTGATTCTAAATAGATTTAATGCTTGTGAAAGGTGCCAGACTGATTACCCATGAGATGCAGGAATCCTATATTCCTCAATAGATACAATAATTTATGTTGATATAGCTATAGAAAACTTGTGTAGGCTTGAAAGAGATACTTTACACAAAAAATGAGAGTTCATAGTCTGTACTTTGATCCTTTTGTTGCCTGAATGTTTTTATTACTATTAATGGAGGTCACATGCTATTGGATTCATGATGAGGGTCTGAGTCCTTCTTTGCTGCATCTTCCCCTATCACAAATCAGAGAGTTTTCCTCAACTTTCACAGTAAGTTCAGTGTTTCCTCTGTCTGCCCCGTTATGACCCTTCCCCACTTCACACCCCACAGAGGCCCTACAATGCTGTTATGTTTCTCATAGCTCCTGACTGGGCTGGGCAAGAGACAGTACTTGCAGCAGCTCACCTGGGTCTAGGTATGTGCTCATTTTAACCACCTCATATGTGCTGACTGATTCAGGATCACTTGCCCCATTTTTATTTATGAAAACTGAAATCTCTTTCCAATTAACTATTGAAAATGTATTCTATCATCAATATGTAAATTTAGTACACTCTCTTCTTTATACTGCTTTGGTATAGATGCAATATTAAGCATACACAGGGTATTCTGCCACTACTATCTGTAGTTTGAAATTATATACTTTTTGCAATTCTTCCACATCTTCCTATGCATAATTAATTTTATGTCTTTGTTGCCCTTTCCAGTTCTCTAAGCATAGTCTTGATGAGTGTAACATCATTACTAGTCATCCTGTCATTTGCATTTATACATACATTGTCTGAAATTACTTAAGAACTTTCAAAAAGATGTTGTTTCCATCTTATCAAGGGCTTGATCCTGCCTTATTAAAGACAATGGTACTCCCATTTTGTTTATTAAGAACAATTTCTATAATACAGTAACTTTTCTGTAACTTTAGTTGTAAGAAAAATCTCAGTACATACACACACGTTTCAGAACAGCTCTTTAGGGTGTTTAAATTTGTTTCATCATACTAAGACAGTAGTTGAATTATTATTGCTCATGGTTGTTGTATGTTTTTGTCTGGTTTGTTAGGTCAGTGTTTATACTGTGGTACTCAGGAGGATTTTTTTCAATCAGAAATTGTAGTTTCATGGCTGAAGCCCTTGCTCAGCATTACACTAAGAGCTGATTCTTTGTGCAGTCCCATCAAAATCCATTGCTTCCTGAGGATTAAGTTGCACCTTGCCATGCAAAGCTGAAATTTAATCCAAATGTCCTAAATTGAACTGAATAGACTGAAGATGTAGACACTGCCTTAAAAGAGAATTTGGATCTGCACAGCCCTAAGCAGAGAGGAGCTAGCAGGACCATGTGACACTTCATTTATGCAGGAAAGACTGCGTCAAGTCAGAGGCATTCCTACACCTTTCTGTAACAAAGGCACAGGCAGACCAAACTGGTAGCTTCCTATGAAAGCCTGGAAATGTACCTTTTGCTTGAAAATAACATGAGGTTTGCCTGAATGCTAAAGATGCTTAATTATTTAAAGATGCTTAAGCAAGTCAGTTACCTAAATATGCATGTGAGGAGGAGGGGAAGAAGAGTAATGACTATAGGATTGGGCCTAATATAGTTAGCCTGCACTTTAAATTTTTACATACAGATTACTGTCTCTAGTTGCCTTTCTGCAGTCATTGATGGGTGTGAATATGAAGATGGATTTGGAACCAGATATTAGAAACCTTTAATAGGACAATTTCTAGTCAGCCTTATGAATACCACAGCTGTGCTAGGATCAGAAAGGCTTTTATATTGCTTGTCTCCAAGTCTGACAGAACATCTATTTGCCATTTGAGTCCATCTAACGAAATTATGATAAAGTAGATGCTATAAAACATAGATCACCCTTTAGTGTCCACCTAAGACTTCATGACCACCAAAGGCAAATATCTATCCTGTGTTAAATCATTTAAACATGTGGTTTTCACACCAACTTTTTACCTGTGTTTGTTTTCTGCCACGGTTATAGCCAGAAGAGGAATTGCATAAGTCTGCCATGAGTTCAGCAAGTACCAAAGTAACCCAAGTCTTTGTTGAAAGACATTATTTATTCTATCAATATTTAATGTGGAGCAACCACTGAACTGCATAATTTGATAGAGACGGGTATGCTGGTCCCTGAATACCTCTAATGCTCTCATGCTTTCTTCACTTTTTAGAAGTGATGTAAGAGAATAAACACCAAATGCTGTGTTCTGGAAAAAAAGCGTGAAACAAGCTAATAGTACTTGGTATTGCACATATATTTTCCTAGTAGTTTTTCTGAAGCTCTCTTAGGGGCTCAGCAGTGTCTTTTAGCCTGTTGGTTTCTTGGGGACTTTACTGGCGCACCGAAGTTGGTTCCCAGTACACAATATGTGACGTGCCTTCTCAGACACACATTAGCTTCTTCTGGGATTTGTGGTCCTTCCCCCAGTGAGCCCCTAGCAGACATCAAGTTAGTAGTTGTAAGCAGCGGGGTGAGGCTAGGTCAGTCTGCTCTTGATAGCCTTACTCCTGCTTAGCCTTCTTCGTGCTCAGTGTTGCCTCTGAATTTCGAGGCAGCTTCTGAGTCTGTTATGGAGCACTTTAACATCATCCTTTGCAGTTATTACTGTAAGTACACTGCAATTAGGTTTATTTCTCTGAGCTATTTAGAGTTCACCCTGAATATTATTCAAAACAAACTCAGTGAAATCATCAACCATGCTGCTTTGCCTATATGTCCTTTTTCTCAGATATCTTAATCATCTGTCATTATTTGATTCAGTCTGTGATCTAAAAATGCTCAGTTTGTCCCTTTGTTGTCTTGTAAATGCCTTGCATCTGTCTTCAGAAATTCAGTAGCGTACCTTCTCTCATTGCAGATACTGATTCCTTTCTCTGTCTTCCTTGCCTATGCATCGACTGTATGTGCAGGTAATAGAAGTATGGTAAAGAATGTGGAAATGCCATAAACCATATGGCCATATGACTAATTAGTTTATCTCATCCCTTTGGCCTCCTCCACCTGATCTCTGCTCCAGGGGGTTCTTCCAGCACTCCATACCACTGAGCTAGGAGCTGCAATTAAAAAATACAACCCACAAGATAATTTTTTTTCTGTGCCTTGTGAAATTCTCACAGATACAAATTGCTCCTTTGAAGGTCCTGTGAAGGGGGCAAGATTCTCCCAAAGGCTGTTAAATACAGGTATTTTTAATGCCAAGAATAATTGTTAAAGTCCAGGATATTATTGTATTCTCTCCCACAGAAAAAGGAGAAGGTTTTTTTCAGTGTAATTTAACATTCTCAGTTCCCTAAAAGATTGAGTTCGTAGACTTGAAACCGTAATAATTTTTAACATGAAAGAACTAATTTAATTTATAAACAATTTTATGACCTTTAGTGAGATCTTTACAGCAGGAGTCCAGATGCCAAAACCTAGAGCAGTGAAGCCATGAAGTACTTTGTCAAAGATATATTTCTTAAATTTCTAAAGAATGACAAGTATAGAATAAAGATTTTAAATGGTAAGGATTTAAGAGGACCTACACTGTTCACAAGTGGTCTGACACTCCTGTACAACCTAAATGTTCTAGAATAAAATAAAACTTAATGCTATTTCTCCTCTGTATCTCATTTCATGTACCCCATATTACATATACATATTATATAGTACACAAAGTACTGCCATCTCTGCTGCTGCAATCAGCCAAAACTTATTTCAAGTCAAAGAATTAGTCCTCATTTACTAGCTTGGTCTAGTACTGTGTCAGAAAACATTGCCTCGTCAGTAGTATTGCTAAAAAGGCTATAGGAAACTAACTTATTTTGCAATTACTATTTCTTCTCTTTCCAGACTGTCTAAGAAAACTCATGCTCTCTGTGTACATTTCAAATCAGTGTTCAAACTGCTGGTGTTTCTGGCTTGGTTTCTGAGAAGATGTGTGTCCAGTGCAGTTGCAGGAGAGAAGTCCCATGATTTGAAGCTCAGTCTTGCCCGTTGCCAGCTCCTATAAGGTAGCAGTTATACTCCTCACATGAAAGTTAATGGCTGTTTATCCTTAGAACATCTCTGTACGAATCCATGCTATTGTCTTTGTTACAAAAGCAGCTTTAATTTAAATATAGGTGTGTTCTACTAAGGAGACACTTTTATGCCAGAGAACCTGTAAAGTTTCAGTAGTACATTAAGGTAATTCATCAGAAATGCACGAACTAGTTTAGTGCTACCTTTTTTTTTTTTTTTTTTTTTTTAACTGAAGCATCTGTGATTCCTGACTATATATCATGTATCTGGGTGAACAGAGTTTCAGTGCCTCATTAAAGGCAAGTTCTAAGTGACAGCAGATGGACTTGGAGCTAAGATTAGTTGCAAGGAAAGTGAGAGCTGCGGGCGTTTGGTTTAATTTTTAAGAATCAAACCTCCTGCCCTGGTTAACATGGAGATATTTGGATTTGGTACAGATGGATAAGGAGATTGCCAGAGTGAAGAGATAAAGAGCAACCTCAGATCACCTGATTAGGACCTGGTTTTATTCACTGTAACATGGAAAAACTGTTAATAAAAGCACAATAAAAAGGGTACTCAGATATAGAAAAGTTTGCTTTGAGAATTTAAGAAAATTAATAAGTAATTTTTTGAGGGTTAGAAATGCAGGGAGTTCAAAGTTTGGAGAATCTTCTGAAGCTTGGTTAAGAAAGTTATGATTTCTCTTGCTGAAGAAGGTAAGAGGCAGACATTATGTCCTGGTGAAGAGTGAGGAAAACATACTGGCTATGTAGAGAGTGTCTCTGGTAAAGAGATTTTAGACAGGTTCTTCCATGGTAAGCCAAATGTCTTTAAAAGTCAGGTTCCTGCAGCACATGAAAGAAAAGTGAGAAGATCAGATTCCCTCACCAAGAATGCCTGGTCTGTAAGATGTGACATCTGAGTTTGACTTTACATTTGGCTGGGAGAACATTACACAGTACTGGCTACACAGAGATTTCCCTCTGACCTGAGCAATTCTGTGTTATACACATCCTAGAATGCAAACAGAAATAATAAGTGCCTGCTGTTACATGCCCTTGCATGCACAGGCTGACAAGAGTAGTAATGACAACTGTTTCAACGTTTTTATTGGTTCAGGTTTTTAAATGCTTTGTAGTGCTTTTGAAAAGCCACTGAGCCAGGCCTTCAGCAGGGAGTTGTGGCAGGTCCCTTTATCTTAAAAGAATATCTATGATATTGTAACTTTTCTGTCTAAATAGGTCTTTAGGTCCAAAGGTGATTATTTTACCCAGAGAGTGTGACATGTTCAGGCATGAACATGCTTTGTAATAATCCCTTCTTGCTGTTGTTCTGTCTCCAGAGAGGAGCTCCTCCGATTTATTATTCCTGGGCATGCCTCCCGTGTTAAGTGTCCCTGAATAGTACATGTCCAGGGGAGGGCACAGGCTGTGCTGTACATTGCTACAAAAATAATATCAGTCAGCCTGTTGAATTACAAATACAATACACATTTACTAATTTAAGACAGAATCTTGTTTGCTTTTGGATTTTTAATTTTTTTTTACCTTTGAAATCAAAATGGGAAAACTGTTAATTTCACACAACTGCAGGCATCATTATTCTTAGTGGCAAATCTGAAAAAATAAAATGCGATAATCTTGATCCAGAGAAATAAGACAAGGATGTCTTCCTTGCTTATGCTGTATGATAGTCAAGGCAAAATAATTTTATCCATCTAAATGAGAAAACAGTGATTCTTGGGTGTTTATTACTATACAGTAGATTCTGCATGCTTGGTGGTTTATATTTAATTAATTCTTGTAAAGATTTAATTGAAACACCACACAAGATCTTTAAAGTCTCTGATTATATTGAATAATTTATTCAACAGATGCAGATTTAATTTTTTTTTTTAATTATTTAATATGGTTTAAGACCCTTTCTTTTTTTAATGTAGAAGTCATTTGACCTATGCCAGATAAAACTAAAAACTGTCTTGGCAAATAACATACCAGACTGTAGTGAAGAAGTGAATACAAAGCTAATGATGGAGAAAACTAGTTGTCTTGGGTAAAAGCAAAAAAATCTGTGAGTGCTGATAAGCAATACTTTTTTATTTCATAGTTTTTATAAGAAATAATTTACTCACATTGTAACAGGGACAAATTAATCCAGCATGCTCATATTAAGTAGAGTTGTAGAGGGGGTGTCCAGAGGTGAAGGACTAATGCTCTCTACCCTGTGTCCCCAGCTGGACACTCAAAGGCATGCTTTTGATCATCTTTACCCCGATCTCTTTTGCTGTTGTTTAGAGAGTTCATCTGGGGGAAGGTGCAGAGTGAGAAATGAGAGAAAAATGCAAGTAAAGTAACACTTCTCTTGGGCTGCATGAGACAGTCTGTCAGCTTTCTTGAGCTTCATGCTCAGCAAGAGATGGAAATTGTTATTTAAACTTAAGCTAGGAAATATATACTTATGTTCATTGTAACAGTGTAGGTTTTGTTTTTAACTATAGTAGATGGAATATTTTTCAGATGGAAATGTAGCTTTCTTTTGTGAAGGTGTCTGCTTAAGTTGTACGTTAATGTAGCACCATTTATGCAGTGCACCATATACTAGTGATTCCCTTCTTCCCAGATTGAACCTCACTGATTTTCAGGAGTAACATGAGAAGTAATGTCTGCAGTGCCAAACTTATAAAGATACAGAAGTAGATGTCTAGTTGGTGTAAATCTCTAACTTGCATTCAGATTGGATGTGCTGGCCTGAGTGTTTAGTTTCCACTTTTGAACTGAGTCTCCTGTTCATCCTCTCTTTGCTGCGCTATAGATAACATAGTGGAGTAAGCAAAATGGATTTCTTCTAAGTGAATCTAAACTGGAAAATGCTCTCCAGCTGCTGGTGGCCTTCAGTCCATCAAACCAGACTAAAGCTATTCCAAAATCAAGCCCCCAAAACTTGTATGGTATGGATATTGTGTCCTTAACGCCAGATTTCTGCTCTATCTTCTCCTATTACACTTCATTACTTGTTAAGTTAGACAAAGCCAAAAATGTTAATGGGAATTTAACATTTTAACTATGTTTTAGATGTTTTTGTAAATCACTAAGGATACCTTCGAACACCTCCATAGTTCAGGCTCTATGACAACAAACTTTTCAGTGCTCTGTACCAAAATATTAAAAAATTGTTTAAATAAAAATATATTTCCTTTCTCCTAAATATGTTTCACAAAATAGGAAATTCCTTTAAAGGCAGGTATTTTCTAAAAAATAAAACAAAACAAACCCAAGCAAACAAAAAAAGAATTTTGTAATCAGGTACTTTTCAAACAGTTGCAAACATATGGTCTTTGTTCTCATAATTATACAATCTTGAAAAATCTGTGGTAACTCGGGACCAAAAGGTTATCTGCTGTTAACAGCAAATAAAATGCTTACTTGCATGCTTTTAGTAGCAACAAAATAGCTCTTGTTAAAGACAATAGTAAAATATAGTTTACTTCAATTAGGCAGGATCAAAACTTGAATGAATACACAAACGATTTCCTTCTTACTTGTGGTGTTCTTCATAAAACATCAAATTTGTGTCCTTTACACATAAGTAGAGCCTCCTGAGAGATTTGTTTCAACATCAGGAGCATGCTACACTATCACTGGTTGCAAAACCACTTTAATCTGGAGGTGACAAACAGGAGAAATTAATAGCTTCAATTTGGACACATACATCCAAGTACCACACTGATTCTTTAACAAAAGCAGAATGGACCTGATTGCTTGGGATTTACGAAAGAAAATATTGACTTGGTTCATGAGCTTAAAATATATTTTTATATAACTTAATATATTTTTAACATCACCATAGAGAGAAATACTACGTACACTGCAGTGCCATATCAGCAAAACCGCTTAAGTATATGTTTAAGCATATAATGAAGTTTCATGAATTTCAATAGCAAAAGACACTTAACTAAAAGTATAGATAAACTGAGGGGTTAGGCAGGTGTTTAAACACAGGAGTAGTTCTTACATCCTTGTTTTTACAAGGAGACAGTTCAGACACAGAGAGGACACGTGACTTCCCCAACATTTCCCAAGAGGTCTGGGGAGGAGAAAGAAGCTGAACCCAATTTTCTTGTGCTTTAGATGCTAGGTTAGACTCAAGAGTGACCTACAAAGCCACCCTTAAAATGCAGATAGGGTCAGCATTGCTATTTGTTGATGCAAATCTGGTGGGATGGAAAAAACCCTTGTCTTTGCACCACTAGGGGTTTTTACTAGACATGTTTTTAAACATATTTTGGATAAGATATTTTAGGCTAGTTTTATTAACAAAAGTGAGTGAAAATTTAACACAAAAAAAAATATAAAAGTTTTAGGCAACACTGATACATCTGTGGATATTTTTCCTTGTCTCTGCATTGGTTTTAGAAACTATTTGACCCTTTACTGCAAAAGATCAGATAAGTGGGCTAGGAATCGAAGCAGGGTTTTCAGAAATTATTTTGATATATTTTAATTTCTAGCCAGTGTGCTCTCCTCTCTAATTAAACCTTTTCTTGAATAAATTGAAATAAAAGACTTAGTTCACAGGAGGGTGCAAGGAAGTGATGAGAACTGATTTACACTCATATTAACTGGAGAGATGTAATGTTCATTTTCAAAGGCACAAGGGAATACAGTGGTGATGGGATAAAAACCCCCACCTCTTCTCATCTTTTTTTTTTTTTTTTTCATATTCTCATAGGAATTCATATATTCTCATAGCAAGATTTTTCCTTGGAGATTGATATGAGTGTTGCAAAAAGTGCAGTCTAAGTCTTTCTGAAGATTAACTCCTGACATGTGAGACCGCAACCAAAAAAAGCTAAGCACCATTCAGACCTCTGTGACGGTGTGACATATTCAGCACTTTTAAAAAAACAGGCCATTTAAATATAGCTGGGAGGCTAAAGAAGGCAAGTTTTAAAAATCTTAGCTCAAAGTCCTAAAATACTAATGGAAAACAAGTCTAAATTTTACAAGTT